CCTGTGTTTATGAGTGGCACTCATTGGCAATTAATCCCCGGGAGATTCCAAGTACCGAGCATTGTGCGATGTTAATGATATCCAACGAAAACAAGCGGCTTTTTGTCATCTCTTCGTTCCAGTTATTATTTATAGGCCAAATAAAGAAAATCTCCTGGAAGAGAGTTTAGGCAGCTTGTCGTAAATGGGAGCTTTTCCCAATGGCAGTCAGACCAATTTCATAGAATTCGCCCTGTCGCTCTTTCAGATACAGCTCTCAACAAAATGTGATTCCGCGTAAATCCATGCCCACGAATTAGCGGAGGCTGTCGGAGAAGCGATAAGAACGGCTCATGAAAATTGGTTTTACAATTAGGCTGGGTAGCGTTCTTCGAATTAATCTTCACTATTGGATGGGATACCCGGATGGCAGAAAACCAGGAGTACCTCTGAGAAGAGATGAAGAATGACTGACTAATCTCGAATAAAACGAAGCGCTGCCAATCCATATCCCGCCCCCACCGCTCGCATCAACTGATTCGGGGAATATCTCTATTTGAGGAGCCAGCCCTATTGTTTTCTCCTGTTCTGAGAACTCAGAATGATTTTTGAGCCGATGGGTGCTATTGTCTCACGCCATGAGGTATTCTCATCTCCTGTGCTATCTGCTTCTCATTGACCAGGGTACGCCACACAGCGACGCTAAGGCCGATGTCAGACTTTGCGAATCGCGCGATTCGCTAGCGTCCGCGGTCGCGTTGCGGTACCAGCCAATTGAGTGATTCACTGGCCGCGACGCGACCGCAGACGCTAGCGAATCGCGCGATTCGCAAAGTCTGACATCGGCCTAAATAGGGATAGGAGGGTCCCAGGTGAGTTCTGAGAAGTGGCGTACTGATTCGTGAAATCGACGCCATGGTGTGTGAAATCGCTGCCTTAACGGCACAACCCAGGCGAAGTCGTATGGACGATTTCCTTCGATCTGTAGTATAAACCCCTGAGGGACAATCACGTATGTGGACTTCCGTGCACGGAAAACACCCGACAAGAGCGCTAGGGCCTTGCAAAGTAAGCTGCAACAGCTGCATTTTCTTTCACCAGGCTGTTGTCTGGCCTCTCATCTGTTGCGCTCTCTCGCCTCATACTCTCCTCCTCGCGCTCAGTCTCTCATTACCTTAGAACAACCAATTCGAAGGTAAGTAAGCCTTTAAACTTAGCATATTCGACGGATTCCTTCCCCTTTCTCGTTATCACCGAGCCCATGTCGCACCAATACATTCGTATTCGTTGTGCAAGAACCACACTAATTCGACCCCGGGTATGCCGGGGGCCATTCAGGATCCAGTTTAACTAACCGACATACGTCCCATTCATCTTAGCGTACGTCAACAAAAGTCTTTTGCATAAACGGCGCTTCGCTATTTTAATTTAGGACTAAGAGCCGAGGAAGGCGGGAAATTTTGGGAAATATTTCCCTCTTATTTATTCCACACTTTACAAAGCGGCGATGTTCTACGCGCACTGCTAAAAGCACTTACCACCACAATGCCCCATAATATTGATAGCTCCCATAAAACTACCCCAATTCGCTGAAGTGTAAATGTTGAGGCGATGGTAATGCGACAGTAGCTGGAAAAGTTCCAACATTTGCGGACAGGTTTGTATGTCACCGGCAATGTCATCTGATGGTCTTGCCCATTGGTATTTGGTGTATCACACAGTCTTTGTCAAAACCATCATGAAATGACTGCATAACCCACCAAAAGAGGCTCAGCGATCACACTTCACCCCGTAACCGGTCCAAAAATAATTCTAGTAAAGTAAGCAATGTTCAAAAGACATTAGAATCGTTGTTTCAATACAGCATCAATTCGAAAACTTCATTTTCACGCGTAGAACAAATGCGCGTTGATAAGAAATCACATATATCAAGCTATAATCAAGATAATTCTGTGAGATTGCATCGCATAGGATCCCCAGGTGGTGACCCCCGTGTGGGCCACCACCCATCATTTGACCGCCCAAATTTATAACTACAATACTTTCGTAACTGTGTGGTTAATAACAAATCTAAAGGCACAACAGCAATGCTCAGTTCCATTCTATCAGAAGCATAAGCAGTACGGCGGGGCGCATGGGACAGTTCTATACAAAGTATAAACAACACTAGCAACTAGTATCACAGAGTGAAAGCACACTCACGGGATAAAAAAGAGAGAAATCTCCGCCGTTGAAGCTCGAATGAATGAACTGAGGATAAAAACAAAGAAGGGAGAACGCGGTGAGAGGCGGGGGATCTTCGAGGAGGGTCAGCAAACGAGGGCTAACTGCGCTCTGAAAGTCTAGAAATCAGTCAATCAAGGTGAACGACGACTATGATTACAACACAGTCACAACCATTTCGAAGGAAAGATATTTACGGCAGCCTAAAAAAAGCCAGCTGCCAAACAAAAACTGAATACAAAGGTATCGAACTTCAATAATATTAAAGCTACATCAAGGGAATTCTTATAGACATACACATTTATGTATATACTTATTATGGATCCCCATCAGGGATGAGCCGGCTAGCACCCGGAAAAGCTCGGGACAGGGTGGAATTCCCCACTAACCCTGATGCGAACTTCAATCCTATTTGGATCCTTCAATTCTGGAAAATTGAATACGAAGCTTTTCTATTACCCATCGCACCTGGTTCCAGCTGCCTAGCAACCTTTCCCGAGGCTGGGGACTCTATTTCATTTGGGTTCTCAAGTAACCTTGTGCGGGTAGTTTTACAACAGAGATGCTACCCTACCCTACCCAGCTACTCTAGCTCGGTGGCGGAAAGCGCCACATCACACCTTCAAGGCGAAAACTATCTCAGTCTAACCACAGCCTAGACTTCTTGGGAGCGGGTAAGATGGTAAAAAGGTTACCTGAGAGAATAACGCATATTGAACTGGGCGCGGCGGGTTCTGCGGAAAGGGTCACCGCCCCAAACCTGACCTTTCTAGCCGGAAATTCCCAGAAAGGAAGGACAATAAGAAAACACTGGGTATGCGCGAGTATCTGAGGAGAAGGTCCAATGCACCTTTTCAAAACCAACTCGCGCTTCACCACTTTTACAGCGTTGAAATATTGATTGCTGTCACCTATTACGCGCGTAAAATCAATACCAAGGGAAGTATTCCTACATCTGGTAACCAAAACCCAGCGAAGCATCTCAAACAGGCTGAGCACTTTCGCTGCGAATCCAGGAAAACCCCAGTGGTTGTCTCTTAAAATCGGAGCTAAGCCAAGCCCGATGTGGACCCTTTTGGTTGCTTTGCTCAAAATACGATCAGTTGATAAGTAGATTTGATCGTCGAGGAATCACGCCTAGTTCAGATCAGCAAAAACAGAGAGAAAAACAACAAAATACACAACAAATCAATTATACGGAGCGACTGTTACGTCGAGCAGTCGGCTCGATCCGAGCGCGTCGCCCATTGGCGCCAGAGACGAGGAACAAAATCACATGGCACAATTTCTGTGTCTCAGCTCTGTTGAGGTCTAATCGATGACCGAATGTGCCGGAGAATTCGAACTATACGGCAGTTCAGTTTCCGTGTTCTTCCGATACACAAACACTTGACCAAGTATGAACACATCGATTGAGATCTGAAACAATTATTCGTCAACGCTTCACAGCAAAACACAGCCGATCGCAACGCAACCGCACGCGACCATGGCAGCTACTCGAAACAGAACTGGCAAAACGTAACCAACCTGTAATATAGCGCACACCCAGAATTGTATGGGACTACCGGTGGCCACAAAATATCCCGTCTTAGCAAGATCTCCACAAAGCCACGCTAATACCATCGTACACTGCAATTAATTGATTAGTTCATTCAATGACCACTAAACCAAGTACAATATGCGGGGGAGCGGGACTTTGCGGGAACTCAAAAGAGAAGTGACAAACTGCGTAGGTGCTCACAAAAACTGCGTCATTAATACAGTCATGTCCTCAAAATGTTGCATTCGAGCGCGCGTGACTAACGCAGCTGCGCGTCACGTCAAAACATCTATGCATAGGTATATCTCAGAGAAGGACACTCTCCGTGCTACATATTTCCATATCCATTTCCAACAATATATAGCGCGTCAAAAGTATTTGGCCGAAACTGTTTTCAGTGCATTGATTTCTTTTTTCTTTTTGCACTTGAAAAGGGTGCAGACTTCCTGGCGCTATCGCAAAATACGGGGCATTTTCTAAGAATAGTACAGTGAGGACCGGAATCACGCCGGCAAACAATTCTGGAGGATTTCCTAACCCTCTTTCTCGCCTGAGCATAACCTGTTTGATAAAAATAGAGATGTTTTACACAGCATTCAAATACATTCTCACAATCCCGGTATCTTGAAATAGTTCCTTTTATTTGCATACATTTCGAGCTATTCAAGAGCAGTGACATAATACCTGAAAGGCGGGTGATTTCGGTGACACAAAGACGTTTGTACTTAGGAACGAGCGTGAAAGGTGATACCAACGATAGAGCCTCCCTGGCGCGCTTGCGTGGCCCTGCACTGCCAATGCGTGCGATGACGTCATCAAAGACAGCCCAAACAGTTAATGATGACATATCGATATTTGAAGCGAATTTTTCAAGCAAGAAAAAAAAAGAATGTACGGAAAACCATTTCGGCGAACATTTTGACCGCTTCTGTAGGAATTGCGGCAGCAATTTTGTCTTTGAGGGTGACGAGTAAATCTTCATGAGACACTAGCAGGTAAGATAAACGCGAAGAATGAGAGACAGGAAGCATGCTCAGGGGATCAAGAGCCCAGCTGCAACCGCGAAAACCTGTAACTCTTTATTGTGTTCCGGTTTCTATGTGAAGAAAACGATCAGAGACCCCCCGGGATTCAGCAAAAGGGAGCGTTCCTCGTCCAAGCCCTTTTTATCTTCACCTTGCAAACAAGGCCATCACTGTCGTCCCCTTATTTTTGATTCTCTATCATACTTTGACCATCAAATATACATAAAACCAGCAGCTTTCACACAGCACTTCTTCATCGGTTATACCTTTTTCATCGATCGTCGATTATACTTTTCCAGGTCTTTCTATTTCACTCCAAATTGGATTACTTTTTTGCGAAGTGGGTTGCAAACTGCGAGAAAATGAGTTTCGAAAAATAGAAAGAAAATCGTCCTCCCAATTTCGCAACAACATCGATGCCTAGCCAAAAAAGGTTTTTTCTTTGAGTGAAAGATGTGAACATCCACTTTTTTCCTATCGATTCCGTGGTTTCATTAGAAAGCCTGATAGCGCGAATCTCTCCTGGTAATTCAGGATTTCTACGGTATTCCCAATTTCAATTAACGCGGAGCCTCGTGACAATTCAATTGTTCTCGTCAAATGTCTCATTAGAAGCTTTAAAAGCATTGTTAAGAGAAATGGGCCATTTAAAATGACTAGTATTTGCTAACAATGCTATTTATGTCATTTGAATAGCTTTTCCGAAAATAGAACGGTGCGCAGATCACAATTAACCATCTCCAAAGCATTTATGTTCCTTTTACTAAATACCAGAAGTGGTTGGCATCCACTATCCTTTCGGGTCTTAAAGGCAGAATTAACGATGAAAAGACAGCCCATTTGATATCAAAGTAGAGGTGGATCAGTGGAGAAGAGATGAAGAAAAAACCATGAGAAATTAGCTCAAAACCGAGAAATGGGACCCCTTCCTTGCCGTTGATTTCCGCATTGCTGCTACTCTCATCAGTACTGCTATCTCCAATGCTAACGCTCTCTCTCAGACAGCGAGTGGATGGGCGTGCCGCGGCACGAGCGGCGCCCGTATGGCTCTGCTATCCCGGTATACATACTGTTCGCTGCAAAATGCGCATCGGCCGGCATCCATAGTGGGTCCGCCTGCCTTTCGACCTCCGCCCTTATCGTCGTGAAACCTTTCTCTGGAAGCACAGAACGCAATTAGGTCCTTAGACCACTTCTTTTCGTGAGTGAGATGCGAGGGTTTCTAAATTCAGAAGTCATGGCACTGCCGCGGCTAAAAAGTCCGCGACAAGGGCACTGAAGACCTCTCTTGACGACAGCGACCTACTCCAACGAAGGGCACTGAAGACCTCTCTTGACGACAGCGACCTACTCCACGATTACTCGTGCGTAGCTATGCGACGTCTGCGCCCTCTCAAATGGAGTGCTCTCTCTCTAAGTCGCGCTCTATCTATCCCGATCGTCGTTCTCTATCGACTTCATAAGGAAAGAGAGCCCTTAATTTTAGCCGCTTTGCTTTTTTTCTCTCTGGCGGTTCTATTCGCAGCTCCTTGTCGAACTATATACCTAGCCAAAATTGACTGGGCATTTACTCATTAGGCTTGCGTTTTTCCTTAAAACCGCAAGAGGGCTGTCAAGCGTTCACAATATTGATGCTGACTCAGGTTATGTCCCCCTCCCCATTAAACTGGTGAAATTTATTTTGAAAAATGGAAAATGATCGCGAATTCGCACGGATCACCCACCTCATTCCTTGCGTGGATTTCCGTTGACAATTCCGAATTAATTGTGGTGCTCCTAAACTGGCTTCGACCAACAACGAAACCATTCCGAGTGTTTCCACATACCATTGAAACTATAAAATAAATGGCTCTTCTAGAGGCCCTGAGCCATATGGAAGGCCTCAAAACCCAGAACGAAGCAAAAAATTAAAGGCTTACCCGCAGCATTAGTGCAGTTACCATGGACCAGAACGTGGTAAACACTGTCAAGGCGATAAGGAAGCTTGTTAAATCGTGCCATGCCCAAAATGCTCCGAAAAAATCACCTCCTGAAAGATTAACTTTTGAGTTTTCCTTTATTGAACGGATTTCTACTGTTATATTGCTGTCTCCATACTTCGGCAGAGCTCTGTGTTTCTGGGATAGGCTTGCTCAACGTTCGGTTTTCGGTAGGGTGTGTCGGATATCAGGCTGGTAATGAAAACTTGACATTCTACTTTATTCTCTTTTCAGCACATAAGAACTGAGATAATAATATAATCGCCTCGTTAGTCACTAGAATGTGCCACCGGCTGGGAAGATCAGCGATTCCCACCTCCCCGAACTGGTTCATCAGGAGTCGAAGGAATCGCTGACCGCCTTTTCAGCGCCTTCTATTCCAGTGAGCCTTTCTAGGCTAAAACGCCTCAAGGGGCGTGAGCAGCCCTGCTCAGAAGAAAGACCCATCCACAAAGACAAGCTTTCATTATTCTGGCAGGCCTTGAGCAAAATATGAAGTCCTTGAGTCGTAACAATCGCCCTTAAGAGCGATGATAGGAAGGCAAACCGAAAAGCCTTCCACTGGGCAAATTCACGACTTGTTCCAATGAGAAACGCCTTTCACTTAAGCATAGAAATCCTTCTGTGCATTTCATTTCAATTGGAAACCGATTGAAAACCCCGGCTTTCGGTTATAAAAGGGCTACGGACGTAATCGCAAGCTGAGGCGGCACGTCTGTGATTAACTTTTTTCTATTTCGCTCACACATCCTTATGCACTCTACAATTAGTTATGCACCAGATAGAATATCCTCCTGCATTCAACAGAAAAAAAGTGATACAGGTACTTTAGTTTAGTGGCACCAGAGTAGCCCTAGAGGGATAGTCGATCTTCGTGCACCATTTATTTGTTGCAATTTTTGAAGTCTTCTGACAGCCTGCGGACAAAAGAACCCGGGGACTTACCCTCCTTCGAATAGTTTTTCCCATCGCAGTAACGTGAGCTCGAAGGTATGTTAATTCTAAAGAAGAGCTCCAGCCATACCTAACCTTCTCAAATAGGGTTGTTGAACACAGCACGGGAACGCGTTGCGAGACGCCCCACAGCATCCTTTCTTCGAAAACCGCTTACCGATAATTGTGCCTATATGTTGAAGTTATACGATGTGCATCGTTCCATGCACTCTTGTTGGTAATGCCTCCTAGAGATGATGTTCCATTGCTCTTTGCGAAATACAATCATCGACTTTATAGAAGCCATGGAACCCCCATCCGCTGTGCTTCGTCAGCCTTCATATAGAACGTACAATCGATGAGTGGCTATGAGCTGGCCCATCTAAGCCGACACTTGAAAATTCGATGTGACAGCAGGATATAACCGAAGATTTACTCGAATCAAAGGAGGGTGCCCAGATAATCCAGCCAGACAAGCCAGTATGGCGAGCCCCACAACCCGTACAAAGCGGTATTCATGGGTCGACCTAGTCGAGCCGTAGTGAGACGGCAAACCCCAGTTTTAGCCTTCTTTAGATAACCCTCACTAGCGGGGTGAGCTACGGCGAAAATTCGCTCTCAGTAATTAGATTCATCTTCCCACTCTGAGCCAAGCAGGCGTTCAACTCTTCACTAAACTCAATGTGACACTAATTGTTCTGTTTTTCTTTCCTGGAGGTAAACATTTTCCGATACGGCTATCCCTAGCCTTTTCAACCTCTTAGGCGAAAGTTTTGCCTAACTTGCCACCTGCGATTCCAAAAATAAGTTCAGATGCAAGGCGCACTCTGGTGCAGGTCGATCGTCATCAGTGAGTTGCGCTCACATACACCATATCCCTTGGAATTCTTCAGTTCTTAGAAATGGCCCTGCAATGCCGCCAGGAAATGACGACAGCATTTCCAGTAAACCCTTTGATGACCACGTGGGGCACCTGGGAACGCTCAGTTCGATGGCTAAACATCGCACGCATCGTTCATACCGAGTTCAATCAACGCTAACGAATCACCGTTGACAAGGTGACTGCCAAGACGTCGTGCACCCCGTGGGAGTCGACGTGAGATGTTGTGCGACTTCAGTGAATTACGTAATATGTGCGTGCTGAATCTGCACTGCAAGCAGCTTCTCCCAGCAAAAACACCCAAGGGATACGGTAACTCTCAACCTTTGGAACCTCGGAACCCTTTGGAAAAAGCACACTCGCGTAGTAGCACAGAACAAAGAACAAGGTCAACAAAATGTTTTTCGGGGACATCCCAAATCTCATCCACGCGCGCTTTGAAGCGCGGCGATCTCTTAACCTCTGCATGTATTCAGCCTCATCTTCGCCTCCTTAGGTCCCGCCCAATCTCCGTGGCGCACACATCACGCGTCAAAGCCGCAACGTCTTCTTCGCTAACTCCTACACTTTCTTGGGATCATTCATCTAGAAAGCTCTAGGGTATTTCACCTAGGGAACTCAATTATTACTTCTTAGTCCTCCTCATTCTGACTTCATTGATTCCATTTCCAATTAGCGCACTTGTAGTCCTTTGCAGAGCCGGAGCTATGCTCGATCCGGGGCTCGACTTTGAAGAGTTCAACATATCGGAAAACTGTCGCGAGCAGGTGAGCATCAACTGAATACTGCCAATTTTGAACCCTCAGCACTGTCCTTTTCCAGCTACGTCGCCTGGCCGAGTACGGTCCTCAACCGCTCGCCTTACCGACCAGTCTGGTTATTCTCTGCTGTATTCCAATGGCTGTTATCATTCTTTTGACTGTATTCGGCAATCTACTCGTTTTATTTTTCAAAGCTCGAGTTGGCCGGACAAACACGACACTTCTCGTGTGGAATCTCGGCCTAACCGACTTCCTTGTCGGTGTTATCGTTCTTCCGCTTGGCGCATTCCATCTCGCCTACCGAAAATGGATTTTTGGACGGTTTTTGTGCAGAGTATGGGTGGCCGCTGACGTCACCTTCTGCACATGTTCCGTAGTAAGCTTATATCTACTAATTGATTGCACTTTTCCCGACTTTCCGGGAACCTCACAACCTCTTTATCTCTCACTTTACATTTGTGACAAAATCAATTATTTCATAACATTGCTGAATCCTTATTGACAGTCTTGAGTCTTTCTGACAGCTTTATGAAAAATCTAAAACTTTCCTTTCATGAAAACAAAACTAACAAGTGACTAGTGACCATGTCTGCCTTCTTTTCAAAACTCTGCTAAAGTTTGGTTCTACCCTGATAAGTAACCTTCATGCTCCACACCCCCGGTAACCGACTTACCCAATAACAAATCTCCACGCGCTTTTGATTCCACTTTTTCCACCCCCTCATGTTTGCAGCCTAAACCAAGCTCCATTCTAATTTATAGCTTCCCTATTCCCTATCCATGTAATCTCTCCATGCCCATACCAGATCACACTTCTAAGTCTGAATTCGAAAAACTCAGAATAAAGTGCATTTGAAGGGAAAGACCAGCGTATGAGGTCCGTTCATGGTAGCTACTCCTTTTTTGACGACCCTTAAACGGAATGATCCTCTAAATATCCTTTCGGGAACAGAGATCACATTTCGCTATCTTTTGGAGCCTCTTGCGCCCCTTCAAACAGCAAGTCCCTATTATCAGCAATTGTTTTTGTACTATGTGCCAAACGAGGTTTTTAAGATGGAATCTTTATTCACTGGCCTGACGTTTCGACCGCTTCGTCTTCTTCAGAGGCCTGGAGATTGTCTGAAGCTTTTGATTCGTTAGCTATTCGATCAACCGCTTACAGTATTCTTGACGTTCTCTGTCCTATTATGCCGAGGTTCCAAAGAAAGGACGACATGGAGACTACCCTATTATCAGCCTTTTATGCTTTCGTTGCGCTTCGCTCATATCTTCTTGTTTGAGAAGAATCCAAGATCAACCCTCGAGCTTTGCCAAGAGTTCTTGGTTGCAGTTACAGCTACTTCCTCCTATGTTGACGCTTGAGCGCCTTCTCGCTATTTTGGCCTTCGCGAACCTTTCTTTCCCCCGTTGGCGCGGTGCTCGAGCACTGAGCCGCCGCGCTTGAAAAACCAAGATTACTAGGTTATCTTTCGCGCTTGTTAGTTGTCTAGAGTGCCTAATCGGCATAGAAAATCCTCTCTCGGAAGCATGGCTCTCTGCCGACTAACTTTTTGCCATGAGAACATTTCTGCAAGCAAGAAGCGACGGAAATCTTCAGCCTCCTTTCTCAAGCACTTTCCGGTATCATGTCTTGCTTCAATGACTGGTCAGAAGGCACTCAATTGCCTGCACCCCCTTGAGCACAAGGATGCTTGTAATTCATGCACAACAATTTTGAGAAATTCACACTGTTTCTAGGCCTGAATACTGAAATGACCCTAATTTCAGGTGACCATCTGCGTGATTTCGGTGGATCGATATTTGGCCGTGACACGACCGTTACGCTACAAATCTCTGGTCACGAAAACCAAAGTGATACTTCGTTATGATAACAATTTGGACATTTTCTTCGTCTATACTACTGACGACCGTTCGATGGGAGCAGCCGCAGTGCTATGACGACGTCAGTTTTCTGTCGATTTCCTTTGACAAATCTCTTCAGCGATTTCTTTCGCCCTTACGGATCCTACTTCTCAACTTTTATATGATCATTCCTTCGGACAGTTTCAATGCCTCTATAATCGCGAGACGTATTAGCCATTTAGTCGGCCCTATGAAGCCTAGCAATGACATCTCTCAAGGCGTATGGAACTGACATTCACGGGGCTAGAATTGAGCACTTACTGACTATCCAGCGAAATAAACCCAGCGATACTTGCGCCTGAGATAAACTTTAACTTAGTCAGAAAGGAAATCATGGGCCAGGAATTTGGCAATGAAGCAGTACTTTGTTAGCAGGGTAATCAAAACGAAATATGAGCAGTGCACGGGCTCGCCGCAGCAAATGAA